AATATCTATTGAGGAACAAGAACAATGTAAAAATCTGTTAAATAACGTTAATTAAAAACATCTGTTAAAAATGCTTTTCTTTTTTTTTCACAAAAACAAGATAAAGAATGCATTTAATATTTTGTCTGCTAAACTTAAAAAACAATGCATCCATAATAAAAAAAGTAAAAGCAGTAACACTTAAAAGATATACAAATATCACAGGATATCCATATCTATGGCACCGCAGAACATGTTAGCGAGCTATAAATACCACCATTAATAACAATAATATACATTTTAAGCCACATTTATATTTTTATTTTATGGCTCAATTATAGTTTTATAGTTTTTAATATTTTTTTTAATTTTATTTTACAATTCCTAGGTTTGTTAAAATGCTAATTAAAATGCATATTTAGATTTTTTATATATTTATTTATTTAAAACTGTAAATAAAAAAACGATATAAAACCAAAGGAGAGTTTTTCACTTGGTTTATTCCAAAATAAAGCTGCCATATATTAGACAAAATGGACAGCTTTTAATTATCACCTTGACAACAAAGTTTTTTTTTTTATTATAAAATATGGTTGCAGGGTAGCAATGTTTGGGATCCATATGCAGTTTGAACTGACACATTCAGGCAGGACAATAAAACAAGTAAGAAACAGCTGATACACAAAAGAGACCGTCTAGACAGTGTTCCATCAGTCTGGCTAAATTTGGTGCTGGCATTCCCAAAGGGATCATGATATAATTGTTCTGGTGTCTGTGTTCATTCTCCTTGTCAAATGCTATTCCAAATATACATGCTTTTATTCAAATGTTTTAAGCACAACCCAAAATTCTACCCTGCAAGGATTTAATGAGCTGACAATGAAGGTCTGTTCCACAACACCATACAGTTGAATAATTAAAATCCTTACAAAAATAAAATGCAATAAGTTTCCTTATTATATACCTTTATTTTGTTCATGAAAAAAAAATACATTTCAAGCAGTAATGCGCTTAAGGTTAATATAATTAGGATAAGCTTAATTGCTATATGAGAAATATTCTATTGTTATACTTACACGCATCTTGAATTTGGTATTTTACGTGAAGCAAAATGGCATTATTTAAATTATTATAATTTTTTTTAATACAACGCTGTTAATTTAAGAACATATAGTATCACTTTAGGAAACATCCCAAATCATAATCTATTTCCTAGCAAGTAGCGAAAGAAGTAAAATACATAGGCTGAGGGGGTGTATAATATACTATCACATACCTATTTATATGCGATTATACCTTACACTTTATACTAGGAAATAATCCATTCACCCACTTTTCACATGGAATGTACACTGACAAAAATATATTAATTGTGACTTCTTTAGTTTTAAATGCATGTATATATAACTACTAATTTGGTGTAAGTTACCATGTATTTTTAGATTGCATTGTCTAATTTGATGAAAATATAAATATTTTCGATAATATGGTCAATAAACCGGCAATGCCCATTGTGCGTGTGTCTATCTTTCTTTCTACAAAACCATAGATAAAAATAGGTAAACAAAAAAAAAATATAGAAAAAAAAACACATTATGATTTAGATTTAGTTGCCAGATCATCAACACAGTTGGAGTCTGAATTACTAGGTTTATACAATACAAACAGCCATTTCAAAATACTGTTTTCTAAAATGGCTTCTCTAAATTGATTGCATTTTGTATAAACCCAATTTAGAAAAGAAAATGCAGACTCTAAAAAACTACTTCCTCGGCCACAGATGCTTGTTGGTGTCTTTTTATCTACATTGAAAAATGAGAGATACATGTTTTATCATCTCTGTGATCAATCATTTTTTTTTCTTAAAATCAGAATCTTATAGATGTTTTCAGCACACTGAATGTCTCCCTATGAGGGCTTTTAGGTATTAACTGGATTAAAATGAATATATTTGCAAAAGGTCTCTTTTCAGCCAACTAATGTGCATTTGAATTGATACAAAGTTGTTTTGTGTGTGATAAATTACAATTAGATGGCCTTATGTCTGGAGAGACAGAGTGTGTGTGGTGTAAAGGAGAGGAGGAGAGGTTGTTGTCGTGTTTGTAGTGTCTGAGGAAGCATTGACTATTATACGTGTAATTCAGCATTGAAATGTAGTTTTTGGCTTTTTTGTGTCGTGGTAAATAGTCTGGGATTTCAAGGTTTACACTGGAGTACAACAGAAAAAAAAGTGTTAGCTGTGAGAATTTACCGTTCTGCCCTGTCTCCGTATAGTTCATAGGGGTGTTTCTGCAGCTGCCCCACTTACAATTTGAATGGAAGAGTGGGGGGGGGGGGAGAGGCATTTTTGGCGAGGGAGTGGAGTTCTGAATACCTTTCCCAATAAGAGATGAGGCATATTGAAAACTATATTAAATTACCCTGATTAACAATTTAGCCACGAACAGGGGAGCTTTGGGAAATCTGTATAGGGAAGACCGAAAGCTATTCATACCAGCAGCAAAGAGGTCAAAAGGTTTCCGAAGTTCACATGCTCAGGGTCTTTGTTATGCTAACAGACAATCTCAAATCAGCTGCCAAGTGGAGTGTGAAATATAAATGATTCCTTGAGAACTTTCAATAAGTTGTCACTCCGGCTTGCCAAAATACCAGGACAGTCTGATCATTTATTGCAATCCCTGTTTTATCATCATTGGTACTTTGCTGATTACATCGCATGCTTCAAAAGCAATTTCAAGGAAATACGCCTGCCCTAAAAACCTCCATTCAATTTCTAATTTTTTTGACATAGGAAAAAAGAAAGAAAATGCTATTTCACTTTTAAAAAAAAATATGTTCTTGTTTTTGTGAATAGTGTAATGCCCCTCCTAGTAGGGTAAGAGGTCATTGGATGTCACTCACAAACTAGACAGCGACCCCAGTCTTGGTCTAGACTGCAGGTTTTTTTCCCAGACTTGCAATTTACATCATCTGCATACTAAACAAGAAATCTAATGTTTAAAGTTTTAAAAGCAACATTTGTTGAGTGTGCGCAAGATATTCACAAAGCAAGACGTCCGACAGAAACAAGCTGTTTAACTCTTGCAATGCCAAGCTGGTCTGCTTGTTATTTGACACCCAAAGAGGTAAAGGCGCAGGTGACAAAAAAATAAATAAAATAAAACACCCTAAAGATCGCAAACTCAGTCAATGAAAGTATATTTCTGAAGTTTGAAAAACTTGCGAAAATAATAACGTGAGTTTTTAAAGAATATAGAACGAGAACGAGTTAATGCTTCGCCAAGAAATAAATTGCTCCATTAGAAATCTCTGTTTTCATTCTGACGATAGTAAAAGAAAAGAAAAAAAGATGAAAGGAAGAAGCATACTAATTAATCTCACCACTGACATCAGAGAGTAAGAACAATAAGGCAGATGCAATTTATGTCTATCTAAAAAAAGTGCCATTTCTGAAAAAAATATACAAATAATAAAACATTCAGCAATTCCTTGTGTGTAGACTGGAAGATAAAAAAAAATTAAAAATAAAACTTGAAAGGATAAAATGCAAGATGTATTTATGCTATTTACGCAGAAAAAGTGGCATCATATATCTTTGAGTAGTATTTTGAGTGTTTTTCTCCCCAAAACTCTATTAAAAACAAAACAAAACCAAAGCCAATAACCAGTAAATCGCAATAAAAGCATTTAAACATGTATTGTAATAAAAATGTAAATTATGTTAAAAGAACTTAAGAAACAATAGTAATACATGATGATTTTATTCACATTGTTTATTATTGTTAAAATTGTAAAAGCACCAATATATGCTGCAGTTTTGTCTGTATTAACTCTTCCCTAACAAATATGTGAAAATTTGTAGTAAATTTGCAGAAATATAATAAAAGAAAGTAGCGGTAAGATGTCAATTTTCATTACATAATTTCAAAATATTTCATAGCAGATTGTTTTAAAGATACTAAAATTAAACCCTATTTGACATGAATTTAATAGTGACCAACATTTAGTAAAGTATTAAAAAAATTACCATCAGGTATGAAAAGCTCATCAAAAAAAAAATTAGTAAAAAAATTAATATGGCCTTTGAGTTTAACTTTCTAGCTTTAATTAGAAATTCAGGGTGGAAAAACCTTGACTGTTGTCTTCCAAGGTATAGTAAAATACTAAAAACCATACATCTTATGGCAATTTATTAAACAAAATCTAATTTAAAAACTTGCATACTGCTCTGAGATTTTTTTTAGCTATAGGTTTAAAATTGCACTAAATTGAAAATGTATTTATTTAGTTCAATGTTTGCTTTGGTTCTTGCCAAACTGATCAGTGCACTTTGCTTTCTTTTATAAATGGATACAAATTTGCATATGTGATATAACAGAAACACACACTCATTATGTGTATATATATATATATAACTGTAAAGAATTTAAAAATGTAAAATAAAAAATAACCCACTACATATGTAATACATGTTCATTTGTGCACACGTGTGTGTGTGTGTGTGTGTGTTTCTGTGTCTGTGACTTTGTTTACAATACAAATTTCCACTACGAAGATATTTTATAGCTTTATATTCCTTTTATTTATTTTTTCACAGGCAAGGATGTACACGATTTTATAAAAACCAATGAATATATACCTAGTAATAACATACTTTGTTTGTAATGCATTACCGTAATTACCCAGGAAGCTAGCGGTTATAGCGAGGTTGCATTCTTTAATAAAGATGTTTTCTTTACAATTACACAGATATATTACTATTGTTTAATATATCTTTTAGTGATTTCTTTGAAAATGAAATATATGTATTTGTTACAAATCTTACCAAAATACAACAGATACTTTCGAGATTTTTCTTTGTGTCGAAATACATGCTAAAGAAAACACAAACGCTATATATATATTTTTTTTTTTTTAAATGTATGATAATTAGAGCTGTTTAGCATATCTTAAAGACTTTTTTATTCTCCAATAGCAACCATTATGGTTACTTTGTAAATATATAAACAGAAGACAAAGTACAGGATTGTTGTTTTTGGTAATGGCTTGCATCAGGTACCATTAGGTACATATTTATGTCTTGAGCCATACCAAAAACATGTTGAATTGTGAGGTCAAGACATAGGCTGACACAGCTCACTAAAACAAAAGAAAACAGTCTTGCAACAGTAGCACATATAATAAAACCCCTATTATCTGACAACCCATCAGGGACATGCACTCAATACAAGTTAACAAGGAGGAAATGATAAGATAACATTTATAGGAGGTCAGAAGTCAAATGCCAGTCAATGACTTTTAACCTCCTGGGTCATAAACAGGAATACTGAAAATAGAGGGGGTTATTCATTGTTTTTAACAGTGCATATTTACCACAATCAAAGGCTAAGATTAACCTAAGCGTAGTCTCCGAAAGTATATGATGTGATCATTTCTATTGACAGTATTTTGAAACACATTCACATTTAATGGTGTATTGTGCTTGATAAAGATACCAAAATATACAGTTAAGGCATAAAGCCTATGAATTAAAATTGAGACGTACATTTTGTTCACAATAAAAAAAAAAAAAAGCAAAATTTTACATTTACAGTCAACAGACAGAATTGAACAATAAATCTGCTTAGTCGTGATCCCTTATTATGATGTTAATGTAACTTTTTTTTGTGGAGTGCTTTAAAAGGCATTTGATATATGCTTTTGCAACATATATAAAAAAACAAAAAAAAAACAGTTTTCCTGTTTTCAGTACAACTAATTTTACTAACCCTTTTCAGTGCATAAATCATTTGCAGGAAATTTTAATAGCACAGTACTTTCGTACACCATGCTCGCTGATTGTGTTAATGTGAGCTAAAAGTAGGATGGAAACGCACAGACTAATACCGATGTTTCAAGTAATGAAGTGAAATTGCAATCTATGTGGATTTTGTTGCTGTAACTCACAATGAAAGGCTCAGAACACAGAGATAAAATGCTATGCATTATTCTAAGGCCTTTCACGGACGTATGCGCCTTTAAATGCTGTTTAGAATATACAAGTCAAATATAAATATGATTTTAAATATTTATTGCAAGTATTTTAATGACATTTGGAGTGCACTCACCTTTATTGACAATCTGTACTCTGAAGCCCATTTGTCTAGCAAAAACCCCCCAAGCAGATGAACAAGGACTAACCGTCTTCATTCCGTTAATGTTTAGTTAAAAAAAAAAAAAATAGCAAGCTGCCTTAATCAGCATGCTGATTGCATCTTCAACTAACAAATAATTTACTACACTAAGCATTGCATTCCATTAAAAGCTCATTAAATTTTTTTCTTCTCCAATGGGAGGTTGCTTAGGAAAAGCATTCTCTCTGTCGAAATTATCTCTTTCACCAAAATATGTATTTTGCATTGAGAAATATGACTATTTCTGTGCATTCACAAAAACAACAAAATGCCTATTATTATTCTCAATGCAGAATGTTTACCAAAGAATACACATTTTAACGTTAGATGATTTGATTGCTTTTGTGCATCACTATATATATATATGTATACAATCATTTTCTTTTCTTTACTGTATACACTTTTCTACCAACATGAATTTCATGCCTTTCTGGTATAAACAAGCTGTTATGTTTCTGATAATAATAATAATGTTACAATTGTAATAGTAGAGATTTCTTTCCTTTTAATATATTCTCACTATATAATACACTGGGTTCTCCTGAATTTTAATGATGTCAGGTGTTTCTGTATATGCAAAATAGAGTGTGTTTATGCCCCACGTTATTATGTAACATCAATATGATATTTTTTTGAAAAGTGCAAGTCCCTTCTGTGTAACAAAACAATTTATATTCTGGCATGCTGAATGGATTAGCAGCCATCTTTTTACTGTACGGTTGGTTCTAATCAAAGACTGCTTAGAGGTGTTGCCAGGTCTCAATTGACAGATTATAAAAATGCTGCCTTAATACAGATGATCTCATCAGAAACATATTAACTAATAAAGAAAGGTGTTGCAAATGATTCATAACATAAATTAACAGGTGCACAATTGACTTTGTCTCTCTAAGGGCAATCCTAAACCGCATTTAGCTTATCCCAAATCCCAAGAAAGGGTCACATATAGAGTGTCATTTCAATGCTGTGCAAGATCTTATTGGTCCATTGGATAAAGAGAGCCATTTGATAAAGACGTCTTCGCAGATTAATTTATCATTTCTATAGTATGTCGATCCTTTACATACATAGTTATTCTCTAAATGGGGAAGTGCAGAGAATTCACAGGGATCTTGCTAATTGAAAGACAAAATATCAGAGCTAAAAAATATAATTTATTTTCTAATGGACTGTTTTGGCCTTAAATTTGTATCTATTCTACACGAGTCTTGGTTTAGCGAATAAATCTCCTAGTAACTCAACACTGCATTTTAAAAAAAAATAGGACTTAGGGACAGAAACAGACCTTTAAATGGAGTCACATAGTCATAATACAATTAGAATAATTATGTAAAATTCTCAGTCTTTAATTACCATGCATCTTTGCATTCCTGATTGGGTTCATTTGAAATTTGGGTCATTTTGCATGAGTGGGTTTAATAAAAGGTTGGACTACTTGCCACATAGCACAGAGTGCGTATTGTGCATTCCCTGTGCTAATCCAGAGTTTAGAGATTGTGTCAGGTGCCTTTTCACAGACTCCAGCAGCTGTCTCATCAATGCAAATAAGGCAACTCCTACAATCAAATCCTCATGAGTCTAAAGCCTGATTGCAAAGGGCAGACTGAAAGCACCATACAGACTTTCAGTTTTTAATCCTGCCAACATACAAAATCTATCCGTACCCCACAAGTATAAAATAAACTGTTTTATTATTGTATATTAAAAAGTGCTCACCCTGTGTAGAAACAATCTATATTGTTATTTATATTGTTACATACCCAGGCAATAGATTATTGGTGGGGCCCCTTAATACCATATTTCATCTCACATACTATAATAATTCCATATACACTGTTACATCCCATTTGGCTTTTTTGCATATTCTATCCCCTTGCCTTATTTCATCTTCCACTTGACATATGTATCTCATATTTTCCATGCTTTATCTCATAATGCACCACCTTGTCTTATTTCATTCCTCAAATGAGATATTTCTTCCTAAATACCCTATGTCATCCCCCATTCACATAATTTCATCTTATAATTGTCATGTTTGATCACATACGCAATATTGGCCACATTAAATTTCTCAAATGCCATATGGCTTCACATATGGTATATTACGCCCCAGAGAAAATTCTGTCTCAGTAGACTTTCAAAATACTGTCCCAACTCCATACACTCATGGAATTTAACGGTCCTGCTTTTGGGGTCCTGTATAGTTCCCTGGTGTCACACACTTAAACCATGCACAGAATGCTTCAGCAGCGCTCTCTCCATGGTCCTGAAGAATAGGGGTAAGCCAGAAGGCTGTCTATCAGCCTTGTGTACTTGATGCCAGGCTGACGTGCCCCCTTCAGTGGATGGTACGTGTACTTCCCAAGGAAGCTCACCCATTATGGGTGTCACTAGTGATGCAAGTTGCTTCACTGATGATTACTCCTTGAAAGCCCAACCATTCAGCCTGATTTTAGAATATATATCAGGAGACTTGTATTTCTGCGTGTTGTACAGGTATTGTCATTGTAAAATAGTGTGTTTGTTTGTGTGCAGCATCATTGTTGCATTTGCAATTATTTGCTAACCACTGATATTTAGACAATTAAAAATGGTTGCTGAAGTATCCACATTGTAACTGAGCTGGAGATTTTTTTCTAAATCATCTACGCTTGCCTCAATATTGCCATTTGAATTGAATTCATTAAAATTCTCAGTTTAGTGAATAATTCTGACAGTTTGCAGTGTATGTGAATGTGCATGAGGAGGAACAAACATCTACAGAACAAGCTAGGCAAGACTATTCTATTACATTTACAGCCCTGAAAATTATAAAATTCAGTCTAACAATTTACAACACTATGTGAATGGTTCTGTAGAACAAGGTTTCACTAGTTATACTGTATCACACATATCTCTAGAAATAGGTGGAAATGGTTTCCATGGCTATTAGTTGGAGTGCAAGCTCGTTTGCGCAGGGCCCTCTTCACCTTCTGTTCCCATATGTCATACGTGTTTTGTTAGAATTAAATGTTTTTCTTGTCTTGTGTTTGTTATAGCAGTACTCCACAGAAAATGTAAAACATGTAAAGTAGTCATAGGGGTCATGTAGTCAACAAAAATGCAGCCAGTACACAAGGTGACAATCGTTCCATTGTATAGTTACTTAATTTTTCTCTTGGTTCTCATTGATGGTGCCTTGACTTGTGTGAACCTATGGTTGTCGTGCAGCATTTGTTGGACTTTACCCATACTTGCCAGCTGTCCTGAATTTCAGGCCATTGTTTTAAAATCGTGTACCAGCAAATAATAAGCCTTGTGATCTGTCCTGCATTCCGGGGGTAGAACTACAGGTTGTACAGCCACCTGAAGTTCTGCCTCAGGGCCCAGAGGAACATGGCTGCAACTATGCATTTTCTTAATTTATTTGCGTGTGAGTCTGTCAGTGTGTTATCTGTGTATGTCACTATATGTGTGTCTGTCATTGTGTGTATTTTTGTGTGTCACTTTTCCAATGTGTCACTGTACCTGTGTGTGTCACTTTGTCAGTGTGCATATCTGTGTGTATGCATCTGTGTGTGTGTCAGTGTGTCACTTTATGTATCTGTGAATGTATATGTGTTTGTATGTGTCAGTGAGCGTGTGTCTCTTTGAGTGTCTCTGTGTGTACTTGCCACAAATCAGTCCTGGAAACTTTTTGTCAAACATTGCAAAAATGTTTACCTTGTCTAAATGTATGCATTTTACAAAATACATAATTCTGTGCACTGTATCTTGGTACATGCACAAACATACATTTCCCTACTGTATGTGGCTTCTGCATTGTATCAAGGCAACCATTTTACAATTTGGGTAAAGGAAAATTGCAGATCAAGGTTCTCCAAAAAAGAAGGCCCTACAGGTATGTTGCAAGGCCAAAGACCCCTTTTGACCCTCTTCAGGGGCTGTCCCGGATCTCACAAAAACTGGGCAGTTAATGAAATTATAATTTCATTTAGGTTGTGACTTGCAAAAGGTTATTTATGTGACTTAATTTTATTGTTATCTCCCTTGATCCTGTAAACAAGGAAGAATTGAGAGCCAA